TAAAAGAAAGTGATTCATACCCACATTAGGAGAATTTCTGTATGATTCTCATTCTTTGTTCACTGCAGAAGCTGGAAAAACATCGAATTTAGCTCCCTTTAATCTTCCTAATTTTACAACCGTACGGAAAACTAGAGGCCCAATTCTTATTTGGGGACCCCAATATAAATTCAGTTGTGTATTTTAGTTTTAGTGGAGATAATGCCTAACAAGACTGCTACTGCTTCAGCTGATTGTATAGCAATTCCCCTCTGGACATTGCATCCCCCTGCTGGTTACAGTGAACCCAACACTATACTGCAGTACCTGTGTGCACACTTAAGCTGTTTACTATCAGAATAACGTCATCATGGTCAAAGAGACATGTCACTTCAATAAGATTTGAGCAAAATGAAATAACATTTCATACTTAAAATCATTGGAGGATTTACATATTCATTATATTAAGCAGTTATTTCTACAAGGAAAGGTTGTGAGAGAAGGTTTAGTGTGACAGTGTATAGAAGATATGTTTTGGGAAAGTTGAAATCAGTGGTCTCTAAGGCTTTTCAGGCTTTAAGTCTAGAGAGCGTAGCAAATCCTGAATGCATTGGTTTCTGTTACAAATATTTACTCAGCCGCAGACACTGCTCCTAACTCAATGGGACTAAAGTTTTAATGATTGCAAACAGTGCTGGAATCAAAGTCCCATACACGACTTTTAAAATTTGCATACATCAATGCATATGTAACGATACTGCTGTATAATGAGTAATAATGAGATGAAGAGCTAGACTCCATGTTTGTATAGAAAAAGCAGTCTGCAAGAAAAAAAAAAAATCCCACACCTGATCTAAATCGTGCGTATCTACGTAAAGGGCTGCGGGAGTGACAATTAATGAAATGAACAGAAAATAATCTAGAAAATTTTGCTATTTGCACAGTTCACAGAAGGTGCTGAACTGCCCTCATGGATTTTAGCATGTCTAGAAGTTCACGTATGCATGCTGAGTGCATGCTCTTGTACCCCATCAGCAGCTCCTGACACTAGTGTCCTTCCCCGCCTTCAGGGAAACTGGTATCTGTGTATCAGCTGATGGTGGAAAGGGGTTCAAAGGTATAAAATAATTGTTTGGAGAATCTTTGTTGAGCTGATATGCTCTCTCTGCTATATTATATTTAAATTTTACTTATTTCCTATTTCTATACGGTTAGGCACATTATATAAACATCTAATGGAAAATTGGGAAAGATACAGAACTTAGTGAAAAGTAAATACATTTTTATATTAAAATATTATAGTTCAATCACATGGACAGAGCTGGCTTGTCTCTTTTCTGTCTTTCTATGGCTATTTGTTCACTAGACTTGGGTGCAGGGAGGGGAATTTGTCCACAGAATATTCAGATTTTGCAGCTGAATATTCAACAGCTAGCTCCAATTTTTCTAAAGAAAAAAAAAAATCCTAAACCTTTTTTTCAGCTCATTTTCCTTAGGATTGATTTAGCCTTCTCTGGAAGAGAATGGAGTCTCTCTAGAGAGACCAGCTTCGCAGTCTGAGAAACACTGCTTTGGAGAAGGAGAAAATACGTGGCTTTAAAAGAGAGAAACTCTGTCAGACCAACAAGAGTAGGCCTTCAACACAGTGGTAACTTTACGTATTGTAGTTATAGTAATTATTTTGACAAAGCAATAGCAGTAAGCAGAGGGTACATAAAAATGAGTTTTGTTGTGTTTTGTTTTGTTTTAACCAAATCTGAAGTTATAGATGTGGGAGTCCTTTCACTGTCTGGATTTGATTTAAGAACAGAAGTGTTTCCTTTGCTATTTCCCGTTAATTTGAATGATGCCTCTGAGGTGGTAATACAAAATAAAGTCTACTTATGCACATTTTGTTTGAGGCAATGAGGTGGCGATGAAGATGTTACATATGGTTATCTGAATGAGTCTAGGAAATGATCTTGAAAACTTGTAATGGGGTACTTTAAAATATTAAGCAATATATATTTCTACATTGAAAACAGCTGAGGTCCATAGACCTCAGACTACACCAGAAACATCTCCTGCAATCTCCTATCCTGAATTTTAGTCCAAGTTCAGCCTTAATCTACTATTTCTTCCCCAGCAGTTTGATATTTATAAAATCGTACTGCCATATTTTATGTTTGAAGTAAATCAACAGTCTTCTATTTTGTTTTTATGTTTGCTTTTGCTAGGGTATAACCTACTGGAATTAGCAAATGGCTCTATGAATAAGTTCACCTTCCCATGCAGAGCTGAGCACTGTGCTGCCTGTCTCGGTGAAGCATCATTGCTATTACAGGGTTGTTTCTGGGAAGTGATACTTTTAAATGACTCCATACTAATTTCTCTTTATGTCTAAAGCATAATGGACAGGAAAGAGTTCCCGTTCTGCAATGTTTCTCAAAATATTCAGATGCACTAGTAGAAAAAAGGAATCCAAAGAATTTATAGAGCTGTGCCTTAAGCCTACCACAATGAACAATGACGTATGTTCATTTTGTCCTTTCTCGCTCCTTTAAAAAGTTGTAGACATGTATTGCACAGCAATAGAGGGTTTGCATTTCATTTTATAATGAGGATCAACGCGGAAAGCAGCCCACCTCTCATTTACTGAAAGATAAGGGAAAACTCCTTGTGAGGCAACACCTCCAGAAATGCAGCGCTTTGGATTTTCTCCTCATGGAAACCCAAAACATACCAAAAAACACACGAATTCTTATTAGAGTGACTACCAAATTATTCAGCTACCAAGGAGCAGGTAAAACAGAGTTCTAGGGATCTATTAATTAGAATTTTGTGTGCTTCTGGAAGCCTGGGCTCTTCATGTTACTAAGCAAGGAGTTCTTTCATTCTCTAAACTATAAATGTAATTTTAGCCTCAGGATTACATTCGACTAAATATAGATACCTGTGCTCAATTGCTGAGGAAGGTAAATGGGAAGGAATTATGTCAAATGTCCCCGCTGGTTCCTCGTCTACCTGTTGTTTGACTTCAATATTAAGTCAGTTCGTAGCCTTTAAGTAGGTGTGCTGCTGCTCCACATTAGGCGAAGCATAATTACATTCTGCAGAGCAGCATCAGAGGCAGTGCCCAAATGTTCCTGGCAAAGGCTTTGTATGTAAGCAAAACACGTCGGATCTCCGCTGAATAACCATGATCCAGCCTCCAGCTTTTCGTATGTGCTGTCAGCCATGAAAAGAAAACACTTAAATGTCAAACGACAGAACCAGCTACAGTGTATTTAACAAATGAGTCGCGGGTGCCGGTGCGCCCCG